AAATACTAAAATAAAATACTACTTACTAATTGTGCTATTCCTATTTCTCGATTTTTCACTTATCGTGGGGCTTCAGGGTACTGATCCCCCGCAATAAAACGAGGGACTACTGTATAATCATTTCACCCCGTGCAAACATTTCTAATGAATCCATAAAATATATAACTAGCACACACGTGAGGTGAATATAAACGGTAAATCCCAGCATGACGTACAGCGTTCCTTCCAAGATTTGAGGAAATTGAAGAAGAAAATAAGTTTTAGGCAAAAACACAACTATCTTGCAGATGACCAGTGTTTTCGTGGCATGCCTTTATGAAGCAAGAACAAATCAAGAAAAGATTTGCACGAGTGATGCATCCTCCTTCAGCTGATGTATGTCAGGTGTTCAACTCTTTGAGAAGCACCTGCTGGTATTACGTGTGTCAAACCATTGCCTAAAGCTTGGTTGTAGAAGCTACTAGAGTATCCAAAACAGAATGCAGTGTGTTATTTTGACAGACTGCCTAAAGATACGGTATTTTAAAAGTGGTTCTTTGCCAAGTTGCCTATTATTTGTAGAGAAAACTCAGATTTACTACTTTAATTAGATGCTTTCTTTACTTAAATCACCCAAATGATTTATGTTACTGTTAGCGTGACTTTACAAACGAAAACTAATACATATAAAAATACTGGACAGGAGATTGAATGCAAAAAAGGAAAACTTATTTCTCCCAGAATTATTATATATATATATATATGTTTAAGATTAAAACTACAGTACTTTCCTTGTTGGAATCAAAATATAAAATGGAAGGTGGAGGGCTTTCACAAAGACACGCTTGTTGTTTGAGCTTAGCAGGAAACGGGGCTTGAGACACCACAGTGAGTTCATGTAAAGTCTTTCTTACTTTCTAATTTTCATTGCTTCTTCGTTGTCATGTCTGAAGAAATCATAGGACTTGTACGACTTCACGGCTTCCCTCCTGTATTCGCCGAGATTAAAGACTGCAAGTGAACACGGGGAGAAAGACACAGGAAGAGGATCAAGATTTGTGCTCTGTCCAAGCGGTGAGTCAGATTGGTTGTGTCGGCCACACCAGTTTTCCTGCATTCCTTAAAAGCGAAACAACAAGGGATAATTCCAAACAGAGCTATGCAATAAGGGGTGATGACCTAAGTGTTCAGCTGCAAACTGAGACATTTTTGCCCAATGGACAGGATCTTTAAAAGAGAAATGTTATTCAACCCTAACAAGGTTAAGTCACGTCCTCTGGACAGATCTGGCTTAATCTTGTTAGATTTATCTACCTGGATTATTGAGCATGCATCAGGATGTTATTCAGCCCTGTTGCATTACTGACAAAGAAGGAATGTAAAACAAAATCATCCCAACTTGAGATTTGTTTTTGTATGGGTCTAAATGTGCTTTTAGTGCATTCAGACCGAACCAACTCACCTTTTGTTGGCACTCCGATCCAGTTGAGGTACCGCGTCAGCTTCTTGGACATGTAGGTTTTCCCCCGAGCAGGCAACCCAATCATCACTATCATAGTTGGAGAATTGGTCATGTACGAGGCCCAAGCTGCAGTTTGCACACATAAAGGCACATTAAATGATACATCGTCAGGATTTAATGTTTTATATAACCTGCCTGCCCTCTGTAAGCTGAAAGGTTCAGAAGGAAGACAAGCATATTTTATAAACAACTATGCACCCGAACAGTACACACAAACAGTAAGGTATGAGAGGGTTATGTAATAATCTACTGTCACCTCTACACATCCAACGTGGAGTTAATGTTATTACAACGTTACTATCATGTCTGAACCTATAACTAATTTCCCTCTGACTGTGCAGATGAGACCCAGTTTAGTGCTCCATAGTTACACTGCTGACTTGAAGGTGGAATGGAAAATATTCAGATTTTTTTTCTCTTTCTCTGAATCCAAACAAGGACCTGGCGAGAACAGACTTGACTCTCAGAATACAGGCTCTGCTGCCAGAAAACGTTTCATGTTGAATTTTGAAGCAATCCCACATTTCTGAGAAATATAACTATAAATAATAAGCAGGAGTGCTTCAGCAGGAAGGCCCTGTGCCTTTACATGTACACACTGTACACACACTAATAATGGCAGAAGGTGACATTTGACATTTAACAATCTGTGCTGGTTTAAATGGTAATTTATTGTGTTAATCATGGTCCACAAATCAGAGGATCTGATTCAAGTCAGCAATGTGAACTTTACAGCTCAGCGATAAGTACAACTTGTTAAACAATACAGCAGTTAGGGCTCAGAGTTCAATCATTAATAAAGGACAGGTCAGAATTCACCTCCCGAGCACAGAAAAGACACATCAACACACTCACAGCACTTCTTCTCGTTGGTCCTCAGGTCTGTCTTTTTGGCTTCGGCTGAGCTGTTCGAAGCACCTGCAGGTCCCTGCTCTCGAGCGGCCATAACGAGTCTGATCTGGGTCCTGCTGGCCTGGCACGGCTGGTCTGGAGATGTTGACCTCTGGTCACTGGGAGTGGTGCTCCAACATGCCAAACACTGAGTAATGAAAGACCAGAACAGAACAAAGAAAACAGTCAGCGCTCAAACAAAGTTAGGTTCAGTGTAAAAATGTAAAATCTGTCAAATGTAAAGCCTGAAAACAAAGCAGAAAACAAAAGATCTGCTAATGAAAGAAATAAAATATGTGAGCACTTAAATTTATAAGATGTAAAATAAAAGCCTATATTATTAGACAAGTAGCTGGTTAGCTGATGTAATCAATTTATTTTAAAAAATGGCAACTGTTTATTTTGTTTAGTTATGATGGTTTTGTTGTAGATTAGGCAAAAGTAAGCACATGTTACTCAATATGTCTAAAATTATTTAACGGTAAATTAAAAAGTATATGAAAAAACATGCACTTAGATTTAAAGCCTTTCAATAAAAGTTTAAGTAAAAAACAATAGGATTAACTATAATAAAAAAAATAGCTACATGAAAGCTAATTATGGAAATTGTAGGTGTTTAACATGATTAAAAAAAACGTACTTAGCATATGTATGTTGATATTACAGAGAACAAATCATTGTTTTCTTTGTTCACACCCCAAATATCTGTTTTCTCACATTTTCTATTAAGTTTATTGAATGATGCTAAGTGGCTAAAAGCTAAATAATAAAATAATAATAATAAAACGAAACACACAAAAAGTAATAATAATAAAAAATATGTACATTAAAACTATAAATCAATAAATGTAATGTTTATTTTTATCATTATCATATAAAATTAAAATCCTTGATGATTTTAACCATGAAAAAACAGAACTTGTACCTCAGTCAATCTGTTACATACTGTACCTGAGTTCAAGCTGCTTACTGTAAATGAGACACGACCTGAAAACTTCTGCTTGTCTTAGAAGAGGCGACATTTTCAAGAAAACACGCGTTTCATAAAAGGTGTAATGAAGCAAAAGGAATGTTCAACACATACCAAGCAAAGTGTGGCTGTCAAATATATCCGGGTTTCCTTCTTTGAACAGAGCTGAGTGATGCTATCCGTTGAAAGGCTGCTTGTGCCGTGACATCTCCTTCCTCCTCTGGAGGCTTTCAGCTCCGCCTCCTCCCACTCTGCCGGAAGCTGTAACTGTAGTACATCCGGTTAGGTTTTTCAAAATAAAACTATTGAAAGGCATAAACTATGCATTTTTTGACTCTACTGTTTGTTTAAAATCAACTTTTATTTATAAATAATGTTTAAAAATATATATTTACACATCATTAGTTATTTCTGTGTTTTTAAACACACATTGTGGCTCATTGGAAATGTGTGGTATGTAGTATGTAATTAGTAAAATTTCAATGTGAGAAAATAAATAAAAAAATGTAGCTTGCACGTAAACAAAACAGAGGCACCCTGTAATATGACATTATACTGTAAGTATTCATCAGTGGGACTCATTTTCAGCCTTGGAGTTTCATGTTTCAAACTAGCCCACTTTAGATCATGACCTATAATTATTAATATCATGTATTTATAACTTTACATCGGGGGCGATTCTAGAAAATGCACTTTAGTGGTGCTTTAGCCCCTAGTGTTGACAATGGCTCTTGTCTTGCACAACCTGCTGGCCATTGATGTCAAAAGCATTTGTAATGTGGGGGAGATACAGTGGTTGGGGGTTTGGAGGTCATTCACCAGAAATTTTTGAATAAAGCAGATGCCATTTCCTGCATTCTGGTGTGCGGGGAGTGGTGGTGCATAGGTTAGAGAAAATGGGCCTGTGATCGGAAAGTCGCACGTTCAACTCCCGGTACCATCAACATCAAAATGTGGGTGAAAAAATTGAAACACCCACACCTACCTCCACCCTCATTCAACCTACTCTGGGCACTTGAGCAAGGCCCTTAACCTCCACCATCTGCTCCCTAAACAGGTCTGTCTTGAAAATGAGTTCTCGTGACTCAATGAGACTACCTGTATAAATAAAGGGTAAATAAATAAATTAAATTAAATAGTTTTAACTACATAAGTAAACACTTGATGCAATAACAATTTTAGCGTTAATGGCACAACAAGAAGTAGCCTGACCAACAGCTCTCCTTGTGTGAATAGAGCACGCTCCGCTTCTCTCACTCATCTTAGCCACAGTCTAAGAAACATAGTGTAGCCTAAGTTAACTTTTTTTTTTTG